GAGTGCTAGGATTACAGGCATGGCCAGTGCTCTGCCTTTTTTTTTTTTTTTTAATTGAAGCCTAACTATTGTAAAACACTCCTCTTCTGAGTACCAAAGACAGGGTGAGGTATGGTGGGGATAGGGGTCAGAGAAAGAGAGAAAGAAACACTTATTTCAACATTTTAAACTCAATGATAAAATGTTGAAATAAGAAATTGGACTAAATGACTTGCTTTGGTCCTTTAGTCCTTTCTAGCTCTCCTATTTTCATATTAGTTAATTTAATATTCACAATAATTTAATATTCACTATGAAGGTTATTATTATCCTTGTTTTACAGACAAGGCAATAGAGGCAAAGATAACTTAAGTGACTTCTGCTTAGTCACAGAGATAGTGCCAGACTGTGGTTTCAATCCAGGAGGCCTGACTCTGGGGTATGGTGCATAAAAGTCACCAGACCTCAGATGCAGATCTACCTACCTGATATTTAGTTGACTTATATTGAAGTTTTAAAAGTATTTCAAATTCAACATGTCCAAACATGAATTATTTCTTACCTATTCCCTAAATCTGGGCCTCTTCCAGTCCCTGCCTCAATGATGGTACTAATGTCCATCCATTCAAGGGCATAAGCCAGAAAATAAGGGTCATCTCCAACACCTTTCTTCCCACCAACCTATCATAAATGCAATTGATTTATCTCCTAAAGAGCTGTCAAATTCATCCACCTTTCTCCAGTTCAACTACCTCTCTTGCTGGTCAAGAGACCATCTCTCAGCTGGACATAGCTTAACCTACATTCACCACTGCCATTCTCCAATTCACTTTCCAAGTAGCAAAGTTTCCTTTCAAACTTTAAATCTAATTATGTCACTGTTACAAGACAATTTTCCATGGTTTCTTGTATTTCTGCACATTAGTCCTTGTTCTAGAATATCTTTTTGAGAAAGTTTGTCCAGTGAATAGGCTTGGAAGCTAGAGACTACTTCCCTCCAGAGAGGACAGGTTTGTTTCCAACTCAGTATAATAAAGAATATGTAGGCTGGGTATGGTGGCTCATGCCTATAATCCTAGCACTCTGGGAGGCTAAGGCAGAAGGATATCTTCTTTTTTTTTTTTTTTACCTCCAAGGTTCTGCTTGATAGAAGGATATCTTGAGCTCAGAAGTTTGAGACCAGCCCCTCCAAGAGTGAGACACCATCTCTACTAAAAATAGAAAAATTATCCTGGCATTGTGGCATTTGCCTATAGTCCCAGCTACTTGGGAAGCTGAGGAAGGAGGATCGCTCAAGCCCAGGAGGTTGAGGTTGCTGTGAGCTAGGCCGACGCTATGGCACTCTAGCCAGGGGAAACAGAGTGAGACTCTATCTAAAAAAAAAAAGAAAAAAAAAAAGGCGAATCTTTGAAACTACAAGGAATGGCCAGGCACAGTGGCTCACAACCATAATCCCTGCACTTCTGGAGACCAAGGCAGGAGGATCCCTTGAGCCCAGGTGTCAGAGGCTGCAGCGAGCTCTGATTGTGACGCTTCACTCCAGCCTGGGCAACAGACTGAGATTCTGTCTCAAAAACAACAGGGAATGTATGTCCTTGGTGATTTGTCCTAAGCTTTACAACCTAAGATCTTTTTTTTTTTTGAGACAGAGTCTCGCTTTGTTGCCCAGGCTAGAGTGAGTGCCGTGGCATCAGCCTAGCTCACAGCAACCTCAAACTCCTGGGCTCAAGCAATCCTGCTGCCTCAGCCTCCCAAGTAGCTGGGACTACAGGCATGTGCCACCATGCCCGGCTAATTTTTTCTATATATATGTTAGTTGACCAATTAATTTCTTCCTATTTATAATAGAGACGGGGTCTCGCTCTTGCTCAGGCTGGTTTCGAACTGCCGACCTCCAGCAATCCACCCACCTCGGCCTCCCAGAGTGCTAGGGTTACAGGCGTGAGCCACCGCGCCTGGCCTCAACCTAAGATCTTGAGTCTCCAAAGTTAGCAAGTTTAATATAACATTATTACTATTAAGAGCCAGTGATCGATCCTCACCTGGGGACCTTTTTCTTTTGTATTATTATTTTTAAATTATTTTTTAAAATTTATTTTTAAATTTTATTTTCATTCTTTTCTTTTTGGGATTTTTGTACTTAGCATAGCTTTTTCTTTTTTAAATCCATGGAGAGACTTCCAAAATACAGTACACATACTGGCCCTTGAAGCCTATGAGAATCTGGGTAGGGCTTGGGATGGGTGAAACTTATATGGTTTGACTGCTCCAACTCCTCTGAAACCACTGATGTAATGGTAAAAGGTTAGTAACAATAGCATAATCTGTTAAGGTGTTAATACTGTGCCAGTCTCTGTGCTAAAAACTTTATGTATACGTTATGTTATTTACTCTTTCTCAAGGTAGATAGTATTATTATCCCCACTTTACAGAAGAGGAAACTGAGATACAGAGAGTCTGATAATTTGGCCCTAAAGTTGTGAATCACTCTTTTTGTTTGTTTGTTTTGTTTGTTTGTTTTTTAAATATAATGCCTGCTTCAGGATGAAGTTGTGAATCTCAAACTGGGCTCCTAACTACTTTGCTGGGGCATGGGACATGGGACTTACTGGTGAACCACAAAATCATTTAAAGTGCTATACTCCAGTATTTTATTTATTTTATTTTATATTTTATTTTTAAATTATTTTGTAGAGACTAGGTCTCCCTATGTTGCCCAAGCTGGTTTCCAACTCCTGGCCAAAGCTATCCTCCTGCCTTGGCTTCTCAAAGTGCTGGGATTATAGGTGTGAGCCATTGTACTGGCTCATACTTTATTTTAATATCATTAAATTTTTTTTTTTTTTGAGACAGAGTCTCACTTTGTTGTCCAGGCTAGAGTCAGTGCCATGGTGTCAGCCTAGCTTACAGCAACCTCAAATTCCTGGGTTCATGCAATCCTGCTGCCTCAGCCTGCCTAGTAGCTGGGACTACAGGCATGCGCCACCATGCCCGGCTAATTTTTTCTATATATATATATTAGTTGACCAATTAATTTCTTTCTATTTATAATAGAGACGGAGTCTCGCTCTTGCTCAGGCTGGTTTCGAACTCCTGACCTCAAGCAATCCACCCGCCTCGGCCTCCCAGAGTGCTAGGATTACAGGCGTGAGCCACTGCGCCTGGCCTGGGTTTTATTTAATAATAATGTGTCAATACTATTAATAGTTTAAAAATATATTAAAAGTATACATTAAACCTGTACTTTCAGGGATATTTTGCTCAGAACAGGAATGAAATAGGTAGTGCTTCAGTAATCCACTACCAAAAAAAAAAAAGGCAAAAGGACTCAGGGTGACACGCCTAGTATACCCAGGACTGATCTACTAACCATACTTGTCCAGGAATATGGATGGTACTTATGGCAGGACTGAGATCTTTCACTGACTCTCAACATTAGAAAATACTGGGCTGACAAAGGTCTCAAATAATTAAGCATGTATTCCCTGGGCAGAGAGTATCAGAATTTTCTCAGAAAGAAATGAGAAGCCTCAGGGAGAATAAAAAGTTACCCTCCCCACCCAGGCATTCCCAGAAGGGGAAAAGCCCCACCCATGTCCACAATGCTTCCTATCAGCTTCTTCCAATCAGTTTCTTAATGGCCTTTTATGGACAACCGAGAAAAGCCCTCAGTAGGAGCAAAAATTTTGAAACTGGAAAAAAAAATACAAGAAAATAACTAGAAATCATAATATCGCCAGAAGACATAGAATTTTGTTCCAAAATGAGGGACAGAATGTCCCAAAAAATTATCACTAAGAAGAAACCTCTTGTGAACTGAGGTATTTATGACCCAAAACAAGGAAACTTAAAGAGCTAATGGTAAATTATTCAAGCAAATAAACCAGGCAAGCAAGGCAAAAAAAGAAAAAAGAAAAAAAAAAAAAAAAACTCCCGAAAACAAGAGAACTTAAAGCCCGGCACAGCAGCTCTCGGCTATGATTCCGGCGCTCTAGGAGCCCAAAGTGAGAAAATTGCCAGAGCTCAGAAGTTTGAGACCAGCCTGAGCAAGAGCGAGACCCCGTCTCTTCTAATAATAGAAAAATTGGCTGGGCATCTTACACGCCTGTAACCCCAGCCACAGGTGAGGTAGAGGCAGGGAGATCCCTTGAACCCAGGAGTTTGAGAGTGCAGAGAACTACAAGGATCCTATTACACTGAAGGGTATAGAGTGAGAGTATCCCAATTAAAAAAAAACAAAACTGAACACCCAGCAACCTTAAAAATAACAAAAGTTAAAAAAAATTGAAAGAAAGCACCACACGTGTTCGCCAGCAAATTGGTATTAAATGATCAACACCTAAGTGGACATATAGGAGGGGATGGGTATATATATACACATAACGAATGACGCGGCCCAACTGGGGATGGACGCGCTTGAAGCTCTGACTTGAGAAGGAAGCGAGGACAAGAGCTTTATACAAAACTTTGACATCTGACCCCCACAATGCCGGAAAAACAAAAAAGAAAGCTGAATCATATTGACATAGTAAAAAAACTGAAACAGCTAACTAAGGAAACCACTTAATCCAGGTGTGAAAAAAATAACCTTAACACACGATACACACTCCTTTTAGAAAACCAAGTATGAAGAAAACCACTCAGACTGCGTCCTCTCCCTCTCACTCCCCCATAAAGGGAGAGAAGAACGATCATCAATGGCAAGTGGCGGTTGCAGCGAAGCAACACCAAGAGCCGGCTTCACGCTCAGGAGAGAACACTGCGCCTCCTCCTCGTGGTTTCCGGTACTCTACACGTTCAGAGAAACTTCTCTAGTAACGGACTATAGAAATGATCCCTGAAAGTATAGTCTTAGCCTCGCCCTCCACGCCTCTGCCGCGTCTGTGGCGGCCGCGCACTTTACAGTGATAGAGACATTTTTCTTCTCAAGTCATTTGCCTTTTTCAGATGCTTTTTATACCTCGTAACAATTCGGTCAAATGTCAAAGTTCACAACACTATTTTCACTTGTAAATTTCCAGAAACTCTTTAAAGCATCAAGAGGCCTCATTAACATACGGTGTCCCAGCAACCAATCACACGCTGAGTTCTGCGCGCGTCCGAGTCTCTCCTAACCCCCGGGGAGCTGCGATTACTCACCCAACACAGCAGGCGCCACCTAGGATCCGCAAAGGAAAAGTTATTCGTGCCGCGGGCGCGCATCGGCGTGGATGGCCTCCTGCCTGCTAAAGAAGTGAGCCGATAATGATCGCGCTACTGCACTCCAGCCTGCGAGGGCGACCGAGCTAGACTCCTTTCATTAAAAAAAAAAGCTGACTTGGAGAGACCAGGTTTCCTTTTCCTTGAAAGAGAGAGCAGGAAAGAGAGATGAAAGAGAAGAGACCAAGAGAAATAGTGTACACGTCGAACACCATATGATAATCCTAACCACTATGTTTTATTGAATGTCTACTCGCTGGTAAGTGTTTTAATCTATTATCTAATTTCATCCATCTCAACAACTGTAAGAGAATCTGTAGAAGAGATGATTATTTCCCCTATCTTAGCTGGCTACAGCATCTTTCATACAGCTGAGAGAACCACAGTCGGAACGTAAATCTGTCTGGCACTAAATCAAGTCCCTGTTCTTTTTGGTAAGCCAAAGTGATCTTCAGAAGGTCTTGTAACCGGGTCCATAAGCAAGAAAGTAGTTAAGTAGTTTGTTTTTTTTTATATATATATATATATACTTTTTTTTTTAATACAATGGATCAGAGGATTCTTTTTTTTTTTAATAGTGTTTTTAGTTCCCTCATATTTCAAATGAGTTTTCAGTGTTCACACAGTGGCTAGGTCTGGCTGCTCTAAGTGGCCTTCACAGTGAGTTTTCTCAACACTGCTTGTTTAGCAACTGCAGTTTTCAAAATAGACAGAAAATAGAGAGCTCTCAGTAAGATTTAATAACTAAACGTTTATAACTTTTTTTTTTTTTTTTTTTTGAGACAGAGTCTCGCTTTTTGCCCAGGCTAGAGTGAGTGCCGTGCGCCAGCCTAGCTCACAGCAACCTCAAACTCCTGGGCTCAAGCATCTGCTGCCTCAGCCTCCCGAGTAGCTGAGACTACAGGCACCAGCCACCATGCCCGGAATTGTATATATTATATATATATATATACTTATATATATATAATATATAGTACTAATATATATATATATTATTTGGCCAATTAATTTCTTTCTATTTTTAGGTATGGACAGGTCTCGCTCAGACTGGTTTTGAACTCCTGACCTTGAGCAATCCTTCCGCCTCGGCCTCCCAGAGTGCTAGGATTACAAACGTGAGCCACCACGCCCGGCCTATAACTTTGTTGTACTAATACATTCCTTTGAGTTTCTTTCCCAGAAATGGTAGAAGCTCCTTACAGCCATGAGATAACTACAGACTCTTTCACCACCCGTTTGTCCAAAGAAGACAAATGATACCCCTCCACAGACTGTGTCCAAGGACCCACTAAGACTGCACACAAGGCTGAAAGAATGACTAAAACCCCTAACTCATTCTAATGCTAAAATCCCTGCCCTGGGAGGGACTTATCCACCCATTTCTGATCATGGGATGTATGTACTAGCATGATTTCTCATGGCACTTGTGTGCCCTGCACTCCACCCTGAACAGGTAATGATGCTCACTTCCCTTATGCTTTATTCATTTCACCTCCAGAAAAACCCGCTGACCCTGTTGGTCAGGGAGGTAGATATGAGGCAGTCCATACCTCTCACCTCCTAGTAGATGCGTCTCCTGAAATAAATCCTTTCTTCCTTGATAATCACTTGTCTCAGTAACTGGCTTTCGTGTGGTGAGCAACAGTGAACTCCCCTTGTGGATTCATTAACAGTTTAGTCTCCAATCAAATCCATTTCTATAATAAAGCATTCAATATTATCATCCCTCAAAGTTCAAACTGAATGATTCATCTTCCTGGTTTCTAAATCCCAAAGAAAGCCTACCCATTTACTTTTAGCAAAAGTGAGTCCCAGTTTCTCCTCAATGGACATACTTCATGTATGATAGTGTGTAACTGTTTTAGTTACTTAACGTCCTGCTGTAAACTTCATGGAGGAAGCACACATAGTTGCCACCTGGACATTCACATGGTGCCACATTCTGAATCAACCACATTTTTTTCTTTTTTTTAAATTAGAGACAGGGTCTCACTATGTTGCCCAGGCTGGCCTCCAACTTCTAGGATCAAATGATGCCTCAGCCTTCCAAGAAGGTGGGATTACAGGCCTTTGCAAACCACGCTTTTTATTACATCATAGTAGCAAGCCCAGTAAGACCATCAACTTGTAAGGACCCTTAGTCTTCTCATCAAGCACCTCTCCAAATAGAATCTCCTTATAGACAGCTCTCTTTAAAGACACCTAAATTCTCTGTATTTAATTTCTTCAAAAAAAGAAGAGTGTTGGAGCAATCTGGTCAGGTCTGAGATGTATCTCCTGGTTCCAGAGCAGTTCCTTACATCTTGAAGTTCTAAAGTGCCTTCTAGTCACTTTCATCCAAGAGTCCTATATCTGGTCTAGGCTCTTCCATATCTATGACTTTTCCATTCTCTATACCTCCAACCTTTGTGGAAACCCCTCACCATCCATGCCATTCCTTGGCCTCCTATGAGCAAATTCTCCAACTTCACATGGGTGTGACCATCACTCCTGCATTCTAAGACTTAGCTCAAGTCAACTCTTGTGGAAGCCTTTCTTGACCTCCCCTGGCAACACTGACCACTATGTGTTTTGTGTTCCTCATTATCTTTGTATGTGCCTCTACACAGCTCACTCTGTTGCAAATACATTTACTTTCCCCCCTCTAAACCGTGAGCTCTTTAAAAGCAAGAACATGTCATATTTATCTCTGTATCTCCAGCCCCTTGCCTGGCACAGTAAATGCCCAGTTAATGCTGACTAAATGAATGAATGATGAATGAACTAATGTCTTGTTCCCACCCTCAGCCTTACTACTGACCTGACTATTGGGAACCACTGACTGTTGGGTTTTCTTCTCCCTCTTATTCCACTCCTCCCTCAGTAAGTCTGGTCTGTCTGGAGGGGAATAAGGTCCTTGTCAGCAGGGTTCCTGGCACTCTCATCTTGCCCATCCTTAGTTTCAAATTTGTACATGCAGTCCTGACCTCTCTTCTGAGCTGCTCGCTCAGATATCCAGCTTCTATCTGATATTGTGCTTAGCTAAATCACAGATACCAGTACCTCACTCAGCCTGCCCAAACTGACTTCCAACAGCTTCCTCACAAACTTACTCCTCTTCCAAGCAATAATACGACTTCCAATACAATTCCTCAAAAAACAACAACAACAACAACAAAAACCTAGCTGGGTGACAGGGTGCAGGCTTTAGTCCCAGCTACACAGGAGGATTGCTTGAGCCTAGGAATTTGAGTACAACCTGGGCAACACAGTAAACCCTGTCTCAAAAAAAAAAAAAATGTCAGTTGTCCTACTTTTTTCTCCCTCCCCTCACATACCTCATAGCCTCCTGTAGCCAGACCAACCATTTAGAAATGTAAATCTATTCACATCTTTGATATAAGAAATATCAGTTGGGCATTATAATCCCAGCACTTTGAGAGGCAGAGGCAGGAGGATTGCTTTTTTTTTTTTTTTTGAGATGGAGTCTCACTCTATTGCCTGGGCTAGAGTGAGTGCCGTGGCGTCAGCCTAGCTCACAGCAACCTCAAACTCCTGGGCTAAAGCAATCCTCCTGCCTCAGCCTACAGAGTAGCTGGGACTATAGGCATTACCACCACACCTGGCTAATTTTTTCTATCTTTAGTAGGGATGGGGTCTCACTCTTGCTCAGGCTGGTCTTGAACTCCTAACCTCAAGCTCCTGCCTCAGCCTCCCAGAGTGCTAGGATTACAGGCGTGAGCCCAAGTGTTCAAGACCAGCCTGAGCAACAGAGCAAGATCTCATCTTTACATATAAAAATTTTAAAAATTATTTGGGTGTAGAGGCATGTGCCTATACTCCCAGTTACTGAGGAGGCTGAAAATGGAGGATCTCTTAAGCCCTAGAGTTTGAGGTTGGAGAGAGCCACTGAACTCCAGCCTGCATTCCAGAAATATTTACATTTCTTATGATAGGGGCTGGTCACCAAAAAGACCAAGCCATGATTAGAGGGTTGGAACTTTCAACACTCACCTCCTACCATTGACCTCCAGGCAGAAGAGAGGGGCTAGAGATTGAGTTCAATCACCAATGGCCAATGATATAATCAATCATGCCTACATAATGAGACCTGAGACCTACATAAAAGCACTTCACTGATCAGGTTTGGAGAGCTTCTGAGTTGGTGAACACATTGAAGAGCTGGGAAGGTGGCATGCCTCTAGAGGGGATGGAAGCCCCTGCACACACATCCATACCGAGCCCTATGCACTTCTTCCATTTGGCTGTTCCCCAGTTGTATTCTTTGTAATAAACTGATGATGGCAAGTAAAGTGTTTTCCTAAGTTCTGAAAGTCACTGTAGTGAATTATCTAACCTGGGGTCATGGGAACCCAGAAATTTGTAGTTGGCCAGGCAGAAATGTGGGTAGCCTGGACACTCCATTTGTAGCTGGCATCTGAAATGGCATCCGTCTTGTGAGACTGAGCCCTTGTGGAGTCTGATGATGGTAACTCCAGAAGCTAATTGAATTGTTGGACACCCAGTTGGAGTCAAAGAATGAGAGAATTGGTATCAGGAAATACCATTTATTTGGTGTCAGGGAAAAAAACACTTCAAGACAGAGAAACCATTTAGAAACTGCAACACTATTCACACCTGTTAAAGGGCTTCTACTGTTTCAGGAATAAAGACCAAAATAAAGAGTTCTGGCCAATTACCACCTGTCAGACCAACTTTTCTACAAATAACAATTACAAACTCTGGATAAAATGTACAAAACTATGCGAAGACACTGGAGAGCAACAACAATCAGGCTGATATGAGAGACTTGAAAGAAAGAAATGGCCCTGGTTTTCTTTTTTTTTTTTTTATAGCTTTTAGCCTGTGGCTAAAACTAGGATAGAAAACACCATTTTACTGGAGTGAAGAACTAGAGGTCAGAGTTCAGAGCCACTGTGGTAGCTGAAAAGCAAGGGAAGAAAATCCCAGAAAAAAGAGAGTTATAAAGGAGAAGCCCTCAATTCTGCATATAAACTCTGCCCAATGTCTGGCTGGCCCTTCACAATGCACAGGGCTGCCTCCAAGTAGCACAACTGAAACCTAAGGAAATGCACTGACATTTGAGTTGTTACCTACTGTAGGGGAGACAGAGTTTGCAATTTGAGTTCAGCTAAGTTAACTATCTGTTGGGAGCTGTCCCGAACACAGGAGAGTTAAAAGTGCGGTTGCTGCCCAGAACACTGGGGTCCTTGAGACATAGCACCTGGCGCCTTAACTCAGAGCTCTGACATTCTTGGC